CCCCCCCTCCACCCCGCTGAGAATGGAGGATAACTGCTAGAAACACAACACTTCTGTCGACATTTTCGACCGTAGATGAGCGACAATGAAAAAACTAGTGGGTGAAGTTGATGCGCCAGTCAAGAAACATCATTTCTATTAACATATCACCAAGACTACTTGAACCAGTAACGAGGAGCTCATGAAATTATGGAATTGCAGTTTCACAACTTTGCCAAATTTTGCCTAACCATCTCCACCAGGTCCATTGGTGATTCGCTTCATGCAAGGTCATTGCAGCACAAAATAAATAAATGGCCAGCGCACCGAATACTATGTGAAGATGCATTTTTTACATGATTTCCCGCAGTTTTTATCGCTAACGGCACTGTTTTTCCGGCAGACCTTCTAGCTAGGAGGATTGAGACTGGCCACCAGGACTGTCTGAAAACATCCCCTTAAATCTTCAGCATTCTAGCTCTTCAGGTTCCCAAGTTAGCCACTTACGCGCACGGGCCCGTACGCAGGAACCATGTGGGTAAGGGCGCCCATTTTGGGGGCTGGGGCCCGTACGTGCATGTAGATTAAGGTCCCAGAGTTTCAGCTCTGTAACTTTTATAGGTCTCGAGATGAAAAATCAGTACGGACGCACACACAGACGCAGACACACACACACACACAGACAACCCCTCATTGCACAGATGCAAAAAGCGTATAAATACTGAAATCTATTTTATTGTAAAACCTGCGCTTCTGTAGTAAAACAGTTTCCGAGCGGTCGAAGCGGATTCCACAATTTCAGCAGTGCAGATGCCATCTCCTCAGGGCTCCACGTTGCCCAGATACTCTTCCAAGTGCTGAAGCGAAAAAAAAATAAAATAAACAAAAGTAGCACGAAGCATTTTACAGTGAGTTTGAACACTTCGAATGTGACAAGCATGCATAGAAGCTTAGATCAAAAGCTTAGTATTGCCTGTGTTCATCACCTACTGTTCGTCCTTATTGGAGAAAATTGAAATTTCCTTCGCACAAAGAACTTTGAGCTTTTGCTGGCATATCTCCTAAGATACCGGTTTATGTCTTAATTCAAGCGAGGAGTTTGAGGATATAGATGCAAAGCCATTATGGACATCCTAACCCATTCAATGCTATATCTATTTAGAAAATGATATGTACATTAGTCACAAAGGTCTCACGTTCGATTCCGCATAAACCTCAATGCTTTCATATTCAATCAAGCAAAAAGAAAAAATTGGTGGATTATCAAAGACCAGTTCCTAAAGCACATAAACCACCTCGCAACTGAAGTGTTTCGCACATAAGCCACGTGAACAGAAAAAACCATTGGCGACGCGCACTGGGGGGCCCCGTGCGATCATGCGTTTTTGCAGTGTTTCATGCTGCAATAAGATCACTTGAAATTCCGTTAGCTAGAAACCTCCTGCACATACTGGTCCTCGAATTTCGGGAACTTAATTATCCACGGTATTGTTGGACAAGGAACATTCCCTTGAAATCCCAGGTTCCCAGCTTCCTCAGTTCCCGAGTTACCGAAATTGCAGCTAAAAAATTTCGCGGGGCAGTGCGTAGCCACCACACATAACGGAGGGCTGAATTTGATAAATTGAAGTTGTAGATGAGTTGGGAACATTTCCTGAAAATTTCAGCCTCCCAGAGGCTGAATTTGATAAACTGAAGTTGTAGATGAGTTGGGAACATTTCCTGAAAATTTCAGCCTCCCACTTCCCTGGTTCTGGAGTTATTCAATTTCCCGCCAAAAATTTTCGCGGGGCCGTACGTGGCAACCATGAATGACGGGGGGCTGAATTTGACAAATTGCAGCTGTAGATGAGTTGGGAACATTTCCTGAAACTTTCAGCCTCCCAGCTTTCTTGGTTCCCAAGATAGCGATTTTCGCGCCAGGAACCCTCGGGGGGCCGCACGCGGGAACCACGAACCCTCGGAGGCTGAATTTGAAATCTTTGAGTTCTACTTGGACTGGAAACATAATCCCAAAATTTCAGCTTTCTAGCTTTTCTAGTTCTCGAGTTAGCGATTTTCCCGCCAAAACTTTGAGGCGCTCATGCGCGGGGCCTAGACGCGTTTGAGGGTTGGTACTGCGGTCCTGGGGTGGCACTTGGCTGGGGAACCCACTCGCAAAATTTTGGCGCCGGAGCTTGCTTGG